CAATGTGGGGATACTCGCGCATCAACACCCTGCATGCCGTCGCGTAGTTGGAGCCGCCGTCAAAACACAAGGCGATGACATTCTCGGGGCCGACCTTTTCGATGATGGGCCGCAAGATGCCCGCGATGTAGCCCCCGGTCTTCATCTCCATCTTCGTGTCGATCGACTCCACAAACACCGCACCGCTATCGTTGATGAGGAGCACGTTGGCTTGCGGGCGGCCGGCCTTGTCGGAGAACATGTCGCTTGCCACGGTGACACCGTCACGGCGCCAGCTTGCTGAGATAGGAGCGAGCGCCGCCTCAATGCGCTGGCGACACTTTGCAAGACCGGCGCCACCGATGTAGCGTCTCTTCGGCGCGACGTAATTCGGCCCCGCGCGCTGGATGCTGGAGACCACATTCCGCCACAGTGGGTGGTCCGCGTGATGCTCCGGCACATGAAGAGCGGCAAACTATGATGCGAAAGACGCTCAGAGGACGCTGCGTCCTGCGTCTGGACGCAGCGTCTGGACGCTAGGACGCAAGACGCGCGTCCAGACGCAGGACGCAGATCGAAATTTTTTCGGGCTGCCCTGATTTTTTTTTTTCCAGATTACGAATTTCAATCTCGCGATTTCGACGCGACTGTCGAAATCGCGAAATTTTGACCCCCCATTGCCCAATTCGACATTGAAAAACAGTCCCCCCCCAACATTTCATAACCCCCCATGCAACAATTGAATTCCAAATACCTCTCAACCACTTCACAACTAGAAAACCCAACCTAGGTGCCTACCACCAAGCCCATTTAGCAATCCAACCAAGTCATTTCTCATTTCACCCACCCAACCAATTCTCTTTCGAAAACCCTAGACGTTTTAGCCTACAAGCATAGCTTAGCTCCATTATGGCTTCCTCAAGCAACCCTACGTCATCTAACGCATCTAGGGATGTTGGGGCCAAGTTTGCCTTGAAAGTGTGGAACGTTCCCCCCCCCCCTCCTCATCCCATGCCCTATAACAAGTTTTTTTGCCTGCCCGGGGGTTTTTTTTGCCTGCCCGGGACTGCGTCTTTTGGTGCGTCTTTCTGGTACTGGTGAAGCGTCCTGCGTCCGGACGCATGCGTCTGGACGCATGCGTCCAGGACGCAGGACGCGTCTTTCGCATCATAGGCGGCAAAGAAGAGGCTTATGGCCTCGTCCGCAGCTTGGTTCGCGCACGCGGCGTCGTCGCTGTAGAAGTCGGACATCCGACTCTTCTTCTTGTCCGAACCTCTGCCGTTGACTGCGCCGACCGCCGCAATTTCAGCCGCACGCTTCGCTTCACGGGCCTTCAACTTGGACTCGTAAAGCGCCTTCACGGCGTCACCTGCAGTCTTCGGCGCTGCAGTGCAGAGATGCACTTCGCGACGGCGCATGCCGTTCCAGCTGGTGATATGCTGCGCGCAACGGTGAACCCCGCCAACAAACGTGAAGTTGCAGTAGGCACACACCTTGGTGCCGTTCTCGCCAACGCTATTGGCCGGCACCTTGAAGTGACGGTAGACTGCGTGCTTGCTGTCCATGCAGACCAAAGACGTACTAGAAGAGGTCCCACCAGCGGAACTACCAGGAGACTCTGAGGGTGGCGTACGAGAAGTGGTTGCTGTAGGAGTGGAAGCCATGGTGGCTTGGGAAAGGACATAGCTAGGAAGCGAGAGAATGAATGTCGAGGGAACAAATGCCTCTCTTTATGCCTAGGAGATTGGGTTGGGTTGAGCTCCCAACCAGTAAAGTAGCACTTGGAGGGGATGGTGGAATGCTGTGGTTCAAAGGGGTGTGAAACGTTTGAGGGGAGGGGTTGATGAGGTTTGGTGCTCGAAATTCAAAATTTGAGTTCATTTCGCGACATCTGCGACTCGGAATTGAGATCGCCACGTCGCGAGCTTCAGATTGAAATTTTGTTTTTTTTTTCGGTCTGCCCGAAATTCAACTCGGCGAATTTTCAAACTATACGCAACATACGAATTCGACAAGCGTATAAACGCAAAACGCAAAATGAAAGTAGCGTATATTCCAACTTAGGTGTGTGCACGCGCGCACATGTGCATGTGCGTGCGTCCACGCATCAAGCAGCAGAGCAACAGGCAGGACGTGCAAGCCTGCAGGCGGCACCCCTCACCTTGAGCGTCTTCATGCTGATCACCCCTCACCTTGAGCGTCTTCATGCTGATCACCCCTCACCTTGAGCGTCTTCATGCTGATCACCCCTCACCTTGAGCGTCTTCATGCTGATCACCCCTCACCTTGAGCGTCTTCATGCTGATCACCCCTCACCTTGAGCGTCTTCATGCTGATCACCCCTCACCTTGAGCGTCTTCATGCTGATCACCCCTCACCTTGAGCGTCTTCATGCTGATCACCCCTCACCTTGAGCGTCTTCATGCTGATCACCCCTCACCTTGAGCGTCTTCATGCTGATCACCCCTCACCTTGAGCGTCTTCATGCTGATCACCCCTCACCTTGAGCGTCTTCATGCTGATCACCCCTCACCTTGAGCGTCTTCATGCTGATCACATGCGACGCGTCGATTGCTCCCTCCTCCACCTTCCGCACCACGTCTCGCACGTTCACCACCTGTGTGCACCACACCACACCGCACCGCATGCCGTGCATGGGGGTTGGGGAGGGGATGGTGGAAGCGAGGGAGGGCGGGGGATGATGAGACGGCACAGGAGGTTGCGGCAAGGGGGGCAAGGATAGACCAGGGGGGTGGGGCGGGGGATCGCAAAACGGTGGTGTCACCGCAAGGGGGAGAACGAGGGCGGAGGGGGGCACCTGGGATCGGAGGGCCTTACCTGGAAGCGGAGGGAGAAGGGGTTGTGGAAGCCGCGCTTGGGCAGGCGGATGCGCAGAGGCGTCTGCCCGCCCTCGAACCCGATCTTGGGGTTGCGCCCCGACCGCGCCTTCTGCCCCTTGTGCCCGCGCCCCGCCGTCTTCCCCTTCCCCGACCCCATCCCCCGCCCCACGCGCTTCCCCGTCCGCCGCGCGCCCTCCCTGTCCGCCAGCGCGTTCAGCGTCAGCAGCCCCCCGCTTCCCCCGCTGCTCGCCGCTTGCGCCGATGCTAAGGAGGCCGCTGTGCGGAAGGCGCGGGATGGCGCGGCGGCGAGCGGCGAAGCGTGGAATGGCGCGGAGTTGGGGAGAGGTGAGCGGAGAGTTTGCGAGGGGAAGGCGAGGGAGCGGGGCAGGAGGGCGAGGAGAGGCGGAGAGTGCGGTGGAGGGGAACAGGCGGGGGAGCGAAGGCGGATGGCGGAAGGATCGGCGGAGGGCGTCGATCCGGCGGACAGCAAGGCGGGTCGCGGTTCGACCAGCGGCAGCTCATCGGCGAGCGCGCGCGAGGTGGGCGGAAGGAAGGGGGTGGGGGGAAGAACGTTGCGGTGGTGCGAGGTGCGGCGGGCGAGAGCGCGGAGGAGAGAGCGATGCATGGCGGCGCGCGTGGTGGGACCGTCAGTGGCGCGGAGACGCGAAAGCGACGAGCGATGAACGACGGGCGGCACGAAGCAAGCAAACGAGAGATGCGCCGACCCGTTGCGTTGAGGTCTGGACACGTGGAGCAGACTACGAAAACGCGCAGCGTCACATGCGAGCGTGCGGAGGGCGCGACAATGTGCGACTGCTGGGCGACGAGGAGCGATCACAGAAGTCGCGAGTCATGTCGCATGGCTGTGCGATGTGCTTTGCGACAGCGCCAGGTTGTGAGGGGGGAGGTGCGGAAATGGAGGGGTGCACAAGAGGTGTGGTGGAGGGGGGCGATAAATTTGCACCTTGGCGAACTCATATTGGTAAATTGCACAGTTGTTGCACCTAGTCAGTTCCCCATATATAAACCCGACAAAAGCCCTTGCTCGACCACCACCACCACAGTCGCACCCATTGCGCCTATCTTATTCAGACGGTTTGCTTGTACCACGGCTCAAGCGCAAAGTGCGCTGTACGTAGTCGCACGCGCACCCACCACGTGCCGTGCATCCGCGCCGCGGCTTCTCGTTTCCACTCGCAGCTCGCCACGCGGATCGCGGTGCCCCTTCGCCCTCTCCGTCTCACCCCCTCTCAGCCTCGTCGCCGCCGGCTCGTCGCGCGCTCGCTGCTGGACGCGGCCAGCTCGTCATGGGTGACGTGGCGACTCAGGTGGAGGAATTCGCGACGCGACTGAAGCGAAGGTGAGGGAAAGGGAAATGGAAGGACGCGGACGCGGAGTCGTGTGAGATCACGGTTCTGAAGCGTGGACACTTTGGTAGCAATGAACACGTCTAATTGGCTGCCATGCTCCAAGATTACTCGCAACTTGTGTAGTGAGCAATGATCGGGTGTGTCTGCACGTCACGGAGGGAAAACATTGGTTGACGGTGTCCAAGTTTGGTTGATGGTGTCCAAGCTTCGCCCAGAACCGTGACCTGAGTGGCCCCGGCGTATTAGTAGTCGCGGCATGCTGGTCACGAGGCGAAGGCGCGCGGGCGATGGTAGCAGCGTGCACGAGGTGCGTCACTCGCCGCCGCCGCTGCCATGCCCACGGCCGCGCCGCAGCCGCATCCACATCCATGGCCCCCATGCTCGCCGCCTTCCCCCTTCCTCGCCTCGCGTTCCATCTGCCCCTTGCACCGTTGGTACCTGCGCCTGCATCACTCCCAAGTTCTCCCAAGTTCTCGCTATTGGCCGTTGTGCGTGTTGTGGGTGAACCCATTGCGTGAGTGCGCGTGGCGTGGCAGGCAGGAGGAGGGGCGGCACAAGACAGCGCGGCGGACGGCGGAGCTGCTGCGCCTGGTGGTGTCGCAGCAGCGCATGCCCGCCGCGCACCCCACCGCCGCCCTACTCGACGCCGTGCGCTCCGTCGGCTCGCGCCTCGCCGCCGCCAACCCCTCTGGTGAGCCGTGCTGGCCATGAGGTGAGCCCTGGTAGGCGTGAGGTGAAGGATCCTGGCAGCAGCACAGTGCGGTTGTGGGATGCAGGTGCAGGTCAGGACGCATGGTGCAGGACAGGACGCATGGTGCAGTGTACCTCACCTCACCTCGCAACACAGCCCCCCCCTCCTTGCACCCTCGCGCACTGCCATTGCTGCTCTCTCCCCACTGCACCACACCCCATTCCCTCACTTGCTGCCAGCGTGGAGGAGCACGCGGTGCATGCTATATTTTGGGCCCTCACTCTCCCAACCACCACAACCACCCTCCCCCCTCCCCACCCCACACACCCTCGTGTACTTGAACCCGCCATGGCGTGCGCAGCGGTGGTGGTGGGCAACGTGGTGCGGCGCGTGATGCACGCCATCCGTGAGGAGGACGCCGCGCTGCACCTCGCGCACGCGCAGGGGCACGGACACACACACTCGGGCCACGCTGCACCAGATGTGGCCGTGCGGGGGGGAGGGGGCGCGGTGGGGGGCGAGCGGTGGGGCGAGGAGGGCGAGGGCGAGGGGCGGGGGGGAGGGGGGGCGCTTTCAGCGGCGTCGGTGGCGGGGAGCAACCGCAGTGTGCTGCTGGCGCCGTCGCTGCACAACCTGCTCGACCCCGCACTGCTCCCCTCCTCCTCCGCGCCCCTCCCCCCTTCCGCCCGCTCCTCTGATGGCGCCTCTGCCCCCTCGCCCGCTGCCGCTGCCACTGCTGCTGCTGCCGGTGCGTTGGGGAGCAGCGGAGACAGGGAGAGAAGGGTGAGGAGAGAGGAGCGAGATGGGAAGGGGTGGAAGGGAGGGGAGGCAGGATGGATGGAGTGCAGATGAGTGAGCAGGCAGGAGTGGTGTCTGGTTGTGTGCTGTGCTGACAAGGACTGTGAGGTCCCATGGGTGTGAGAGAGGGTAGCTTGCGGGGCGGTGGGGTTGAGGGAGCTGTCGCTGGGCTGCCTGCCGTGGAGTGTGCCGCTAGGGCCAGCCATCAAGTCAACGCTTCTACGTGCCGTGCCATCGTGTGCTTGCTCACGCCCCACTCACTGCATGCTTGCCTGCATGTGTGCATGGGACATGCATGGGTGCATGCGTGCATGGGTGCATGGCAGAGCGGAAGCTAAAGCACGTGGTGATAGAGCGAATCAACGATCTGCTGGAGGAGATTGACAACCACCAGTCACAGCTCGCCGACCAGGCGCTCGAACACATCCACCAGAAGTAAATCCCTCCCCTCCCCTCCCCTCCCTCCCCTCACCTCCCCTCCTCCCCTCCCCCACCTACTTCCCTCCCGTACCTACCTCCTTTCCCCACCTCCCCGGGCCTCACGCACTCCATCCTTCCGCCATGCCTCTGCCGTCCCTCCGTCCCCAATATCTCAAGCCTCTGCCTGCACTTCAATCCGCACTTGTCCATTCGTGCGTCTCCTTGTGTGTCTGCCCCTGAATTCGCCCACCTATCGCTGCCCGCAATGCTCCTGTTTCTCCCTCTCCGTTCCCACCTATTTTACCTCTCTCTCTTTGTCGGTTTTCCTGCCCCCAATTCCTGCCACGTTTTCCCTCTCCGCCCCTCCGGAACCTTCTCGTTACGCCGGCTCTCTCTCGCGCCTCTCCCCACCTTGGTTGGCACGGCGTGGCGTGGCGTGGCGGGGCGGGGCGTGGCGGGGCGGGGCGTGGCGTGGGGGCAGTGAGGTGATACTAACGATGGGTTTCAGCGACACGCTGCTGCTCTTCCTGCTCGAAGCCAGGAAGCGACGCTCCTTCCATGTGAGCCTGCCTTCCATGTGAGCCTGCCTTCCACGTGAGTGCCATACCCCGTTCAACCAATCTATTCACTAACAGCAACGTGTGCATATCGCTGCCGCGTCAACGGATGGCTCCTCACTGGGGCGCCGTTGATGCATGGGGTATTCACCACAGCAGAGGGGCGCCGTTGATGCATGGGGTATTCACCACAGCAGAGGGGCTCCGTTGATGCATGGGGTATTCACCACAGCAGAGGGGCGCCGTTGATGCATGGGGTATTCACCACAGCAGAGGGGCGCCGTTGATGCATGGGGTATTCACCACAGCAGAGGGGCTCCGTTGATGCATGGGGTATTCACCACAGCAGAGGGGCGAATACAAGCACCCATGTGCCGCGCGTGCTGCAGCAGGCATGGGGCAGCGTGGGCTGCCCACTTGCCAGGCCACGCCCCCATGGGGCGGCCATACAAGCGCGTGAGGGTGTGATGGTGACGGTGATGCGCTTCTCACGCTGCCCTCCCGCCACCACCTCTCCACCACGTGTGCACCACAGAGTCCGCCACCCATGCTGTTCCCCCTTCGCCTCCACCCGCCTCCCCTCCTCCTCGCCCTCCCCTACGCACGCGGTGGTGCGTGGGAAACCTCAACGGCATGCCACATGGAGCCCTGCCGTCTGCACGTGCTGGTGCCAGAGGCCGCCCCCGCCGCCTGCTACAGCATCCCCATCGCTCTCACGCCGCCTGCCACAGCATCCCCATCGCTCTCACGCCGCCTCCCCTCCCCGCCACCGCGCCGTCCGTCTCTTCCCTGCCCACCCTGCCTGCCCTCCTCCCCATGTGCCTGCTTGCCAGGTGGTGGTGGCGGAGGGCGCCCCCTGCTACGGCGGCCACAAGCTGGCGGCGGCGCTGGCGGGGCGCGGGGTGGCGGTGACGGTGATAGCGGACGCGGGGGTGTTCGCCCTCATGGCGCGCGTCAACCTCGTGCTGCTCGCCGCCCACGCCGTCATGGCCAATGGCGGCGTGCTCGCTCCCATCGGTGAGTGGGAGCGCCCGTTGGTGAACGGATGAAGAATGATGGCAGAGGGGGCTGTGAGGGAGAAGTGTGGAAAAGAGGGAAGAGGTGCTGCAACACTTACCGCTGCGAGAAAGCCAATAGCCTGACCTGCTGTCACATCTATCTCTGCGTTGTCCCTACCACTTCCCTCTCTTTCCTTCAGTACCTCCCCTCTCCGTGCCTCACTGTCCCCTACTCGTCTCGTCCCCCTGCTGTATCCGAGATCCGGACATGGGTCAGTGAGCTGCGTGCGTGCAGAGGTGCTGCACACTTACCGCCACTACTCATCTCGTCCCCCTGCTCTATCCCCCCCCCTGCAGGGCTGGACATGGTGGCACTGGCAGCGCGCCGCCACGCCGTGCCCTTCGTGGTGCTCGCCGGCATCTTCACTGTCAGTGCTGCCCCCCCCTCCACCTCCCCGCCACACCCCCTCCACCTCCCCGTCACCCCCCCTCCACTCGACCTCACCTGCCCACGTGCTTGACTGCACTCACGAGCTTGACTGCACTCACGTGCTGTGGTTATGATGTCACGCCATACCGCACATGATCTACCATCTACCGTACTGCACCTGCACCAGCGCTCGTCTGGATCCTCACGCTCCTGCCCTTGCGTGCGTCGCGCCCCCCACCTGCCGTGGCCCACCAGGTGTGTCCGCTGTACCCGCAGCAGGCGGGGCTGGCGGGGCTGAACGACGTGCGCTCGCCGGCGGGAGTGGTGGGGCTGGCGGAGCTCGCGCACTGGGAGGGCCTCGCGCACCTGGGGGCTGCCCTCACTGCCCAGGGGCGGGGCAGTGGCAAAGCGGGCGCACAGGGGGGTGAGGAGGCGGAGGGGCAGAGGGGGGAGGCTGAGGCCGAGGCGGGGGTGGAGGTGGAGGCGGGGGTGGAGGTGGAGGTGGAGGTGGTGAACCCGGCGTTTGACTACATTCCCCCGGAGCTCGTCACTCTGCTCGTCACCGACACGTTAGTCGCCCCCCTGCATGCCGTCTCGCCCCCCTGCATGCCGTCTCGCCCCCCTGCATGCCGTCTCGCCCCCCTGCATGCCGTCTCGCCCCCCTGCATGCCGTCTCGCCCCCCTGCATGCCGTCTCGCCCCCCTGCATGCCGTCTCGCCCCCCTGCATGCCGTCTCGCCCCCCTGCATGCCGTCTCGCCCCCCTGCATGCCGTCTCGCCCCCCTGCATGCCGTCTCGCCCCCCTGCATGCCGTCTCGCCCCCCTGCATGCCGTCTCGCCCCCCTGCATGCCGTCTCGCCCCCCTGCATGCCGTCTCGCCCCCCTGCATGCCATCTCGCTTCCCTGCATGCCCTCACTCCCCTGCATGGTACCTCCTCACCTTCTTCCGCACTCTCTGTTCTCCCACATGTGCGCATGGCAGGGGCGGCCACAACCCGTCCTACATCTACCGCCTGGTGGCCGAGTACTACAGCCCGCACGACCACAACCTCTAGCCATGGTCTCACGGAATTACAGGAACGCCATGTCAGCACCTACAACCGCTAAGCTCAGCAGCACCCTTGGCCCCAGGGAGGTTCCTAGGATGTCGGGTATACGTCTACAGTGCCCACCCGGATACACCGTATGCCCCTGGTTACTTGACGGGTTTGACAACCATATTCCCCCCTGGATATAACACCCTATGGTTCTGTGACAATTTCATTAAAAAAAAATTGGTGGGTCGCAAGGAAAACATACCGGTACCGTAAGGCCGCTTATCCAAAACCCAGGAGTTTTGTATTCTGGGGGGTCTTTTACCCAAATAATTTTGGCAGTTCCGTCCCGTTTTGGCACTTCAATTTAGACAAGGCCCACGTTATTCCCGCTTCAAGGTATGCAGCTTGTGCAAATTGGTTACATGCACTTCTGGAAAGTGTTTACACACACACAAAAAAAAAAAACTACATTTTGTGCAAGCCTTCGCTTACAACTACTTGTCAGTGGTTCAAAAACTACTAAACATTAAACCTAAAGAGCATAACGTCCCCCTCTTGCACGACATACTCTTTGCCCTCAGCTCGCAGCTGCACATGAGCAGACAGACGTGCGGTGAGCAAGAGTGGGAGAAGAGAAGAGAAAGCACGTATGGTAGAAGAGAAAGCACGTATGATAGAAGAGAAAGCACGTATGGTAGAAGAGAAAGCACGTATGGTAGAAGAGAAAGCACGTATGGTAGAAGAGTAGCATGCATGCATTGACACAGAGATGCACGCATGGCATGGTACAAGAGAAGCACGCATGGAAACAAAGCATTGACGGTAAGAGAGAAGCATGCGCATGCAGGTGGAGGCAATGTGAGTTGAGTGGAGGTGACTCACGAGGCCTTTCTCCTTGGCAGCCGTGTACGAGCCACTCGCCACAAAGTCTTTGTATGATATCTGCATCGCACATGCACGCCCACATGCACGCCCACATGCACGCCCACATGCACGCAGAACAAGGTTAGCCTCCTCAAGGTACCAAGGGTGGCACGGCTCGCCAATGCTGTGGTGGGCGAGGTAAGGAGTGAGATGCGATGCAGCCACAAGCAATACATTTGTGGGCACAGCACGTGGTGCTAGGAATCACTAGTGGTGGGTGCCTGGGGAGACAGAGCACGGTACAAGGAGAAGCAAGGCAGTGAGGGAGAGAGGGAGAGAGGGAAAGAGGGAGAGAGGGAGAGAGGGAGAGAGGGAGAGAGGGAGAGAGGGAGAGAGGGAGGGGGGGGAGGGGAGGGGCCGTACGGTCTCGGCACGGATGAAGCCGCGCTCGAAGTCGGTGTGGATGACACCCGCTGCCTGCGGTGCCGTCATGCCCGCTCGGATCGTCCACGCCCTCGTCTCCTGCATGCACGTAGGGCAGGTGTGTGAGGCATTGAGTATGGGGCAGTGCAGGCATGGGGCAGTGCAGGCATGGGGCAGGGAGAGCCTCATCACTCAACGCCATGGCCCCCTACCGCCCCTCGCAGCTCCGTGTCCCTTGCCCGTCGCACTGCAACCCTCCCCCCCTCGTCTCCAAGCCGCTCACCTTCTCCCCCGCAGTGAAGTAGGTGCGCAGCCCCAGCAGGCGGTACGTGGCCTGCACGAGCCCTGCCAGCCCGCCCTGCTGCACGCCCAGCGACTGCAGGTACTCCACCCGGTCCGCCTCGCCCAGCTCACACAGCTCCGCCTCCACCTGCCATGCCATGGCCCCGTGCCCCCATGAGCAAGGTCACGGTGCGGACAGTGACGGTGGGTACGGTGAGGGTGGGTACGGTAGGGTGGGTACAGGGAGGGTGAGTACAGGGAGGGTGAGTACAGGGAGGGTGAGTACAGGGAGGGTGAGTACAGGGAGGGTGGGGTGAGTGACAGGCGAATGGGGCAGAGCAACGGACCTGAGCGGAGCAACGGACCTGAGCGGAGCAACGGACCTGAGCGGAGCAACGGACCTGAGCGGAGCAACGGACCTGAGCGGAGCAACGGACCTGAGCGGAGCAACGGACCTGAGCGGAGCAACGGACCTGAGCGGAGCAACGGACCTGAGCGGAGCAACGGACCTGAGCGGAGCAACGGACCTGAGCGGAGCAACGGACCTGAGCGGAGCAACGGACCTGAGCGGAGCAACGGACCTGAGCGGAGCAACGGACCTGAGCGGAGCAACGGACCTGAGCGGAGCAACGGACCTGAGCGGAGCAACGGACCTGAGCGGAGCAACGGACCTGAGCGGAGCAACGGACCTGAGCGGAGCAACGGACCTGAGCGGAGCAACGGACCTGAGCGGAGCAACGGACCTGAGCGGAGCAACGGACCTGAGCGGAGCAACGGACCTGAGCGGAGCAACGGACCTGAGCGGAGCAACGGACCTGAGCGGAGCAACGGACCTGAGCGGAGACCACGACGCACTCGGCGCCTTCACTGGACGCCAGCTGGCGCACAGCTGTCACGTGCGGGTTGGAGGAGGGGTCAGCGAGGTCAGTCTCAGCGACGTTGGCGGCGTAGATGATGGGCTTGGCCGTCAGCAGGCACAGCTGCGCCACCAGCGGCGCCTCCTCCTCGCTCAGCTCCACGCTGCGCGCCGCCCCCCCCGCCAGCACCGCCTCCCTTATGCGCTCCAACGCCCCCGCTTCCGCCTCCTCCTGGGGGGGGGTGAGGGAAGGGAGTAGGGGAGCGATGGGGGTATGGAAGGAGGTGTGGGGGGCGAACGAGAGCATTGAGTATGGGACAGAAGACCGGGGTGGGAAAGCAGGAGTGAAAAAACAATAGTGCAGAGCAGGCGGCGGGCGGAGGGCAGAAGGCAGACGGAGGAGGGCAGAAGGAAAGGTGCAGGAAAAAAGTCGGAAGGCGGAGGTGGAGGGCGGAGAGTGGAGGGCGGAGAGTGGGGGGCGGAGAGTGGGGGGCGGAGAGTGGAGGGCGGAGAGTGGGGGGCGGAGAGTGGGGGGCGGAGAGTGGGGGGCAGACGGAGGGGGGCAGACGGCGGGGGGCAGACGGCGGGGGGCAGACGGCGGGGGGCAGACGGCGGGGGGCAGACGGCGGGGGGCAGACGGCGGGGGGCAGACGGCGGGGGGCAGACGGCGGGGGGCAGACGGCGGGGGGCAGACGGTGGGGGGCAGACGGCAGGGGCATGGTCTGACCCGGGAGCGAGCCTGCGGGTCCTTGGAGCGACTCTTGCTCAGCCGCTCCATGCGCTTCTCTATCTGCCATGGCATGGTGGGTGGGTGAGGGGGGCATGCATGCACCGTGGCATCATGGCGCCGTGGCACAGAAACAGATTGAACGTTCTTAGTGTTGAATAAGCTACATGTAATGAGTCAGCACGAGAAGCAGTTGTGCAGCTGTGATAACGCTGCAGAAGCAGCAGCATTGGCAGCAGCAGCAGGAGCAGAAAGGGTCTGGAAGAGGTGGTGTGGAAGAGGTGGGTTCCCTCTCCTCTGTTTTCCATGTACGTGCCTGGGATGACGATGAACATGCCTGGGTAACGATGTACGTGCCTGGGTAACGATGTACGTGCCTGGGAGAGGTCGCTGAGGGCGAGCTCGAGGTTGATGACGTCGATGTCGGCCGTGGGGTTGACGGCGCCACTCACATGCACGATGTCACTGTCCTCAAAGCACCGCACCACCTGTGGCCCGCCATGCACCCGTGCCGTGCACACAAAGTGAGTGCGGCGAGAGGGAATGGCAGATGAGGAGAGTTGCGATTGAGCAGAGCATGCACCATGCATTTCCCCATCACGCCCGTGCCACATGTCATACCATGCCATGCCTCATGCTCATGCCATGCCTCATGCTCATGCCATGCCTCATGCTCATGCCATGCCTCATGCCACGGCTGCATCATGCTCATGCCATGCCACACTCCTCAGCACGCCTGCCAGCATGCCTCGTGCCACATGACATGAGCGCACATCACCTGCACGACGGAGTCCACCTCGCGGATGTGCGACAGGAACTTGTTGCCCAGCCCCTGCTCGCACGCACGTATGCATGGCAGCATGGCAGGCAGGCAGGCAGGCAGGCAGAGCAAGAGGGACGGAAGTGAGCAGGGCGTGTGAGAGGCAGGAAGCGCGGCACATACGGTGGAATGGTGCACCCCCTCTGCTACTCTCCCTCCCGCCAACAACCATACAACAGAGCCTCCTGCCCACTCCGCACCCATTGCCCCATCGCCCTCCCTCCCCTTCCCCCCCACAGCACATCGCCCTGCCCTTCCCCCTTCCATGCGCCCCCCCCCACCCCAACAACCGGGCACCCCCCCCCCCCTTCCCCCCCACCTCGCCCTGCCAACCCCCCCCCCGCACAACGCACCTCGCCCTGGCTGGCGCCCTTGACGAGTCCGGCGATGTCAACGAACTCCACCGTGGCGGGCAGCGTGCGCTTTGATGACGTGAGGTCCGACAGCACGCCCAGGCGCGGGTCGGGCACGGCCACCACGCCGACGTTGGGCTCGATGGTGCAGAACGGGAAGTTGGCTGCTTGTGCCTTGCCGTTCTCCACCTGCCCGCGTTGACAGGGGGGGGGGCGCGTGGAAGAGAGGACGCGGGAGATGAAGGCGTGGCGTAGAGGCGACAGGGGGGGCATGGACGGCGTGCACTGGGCATGCCGGGAGGGAAAGTAGGCAGAGTGCAGGCAGTGGGGTTGCTGAAAGGAAGGCAGCGATTTAGGAGCTAGCAGAAGCAGGCAGTGCGAGGTGGTGCACACGCGTGGCTCGTGTGCGGCATGGCATGGCATGGCATGGGCGCAGGTGGAGTTGAGGAGTGGACGATGGGTGAAGCATGAGGAGGAGGAGGGAATGGGCAACGGGGTGAGAGAGGCGGGGCGGGGCGGGGCGCGCACGAGGGCGTTGAAGAGCGTGGACTCACGAGGGCGTTGAAGAGCGTTGACTTGCCCACGTTGGGCAGCCCCACGATGCCGCTGCGCAGCGCCATGCTCACCCGCGCGCCCCCCCGCCCCACCCCCGCCGCCTCCGAGAACGCCCGCGCTGCTGTCTGCTGGCGGGGGGGGGGGGGGCGAATAGGTGGAAGGGGGGAGGAGGGGGGCAGTTGGGAGGGGGATTGTTGAAGGGGTGGCAATGGAATGCGTGCAGAGGAGGAGACGGTTAGACGGTGGAGAGATGGCAGCACACATGTGAACACACGTGCCACGGGTGAGGAATGGAGGCGGCGAGTGGGCGGCCTTGCAACGTGGCAAGCGACGAGCACAGGCGACCCCCCAGCGACGACCCACCAGCGGCGCGAGGAGGCGCGGCGAGGCGGCGAGGCCGTGAAGGCGCGCCTTGAGGCCCACGCCGACGCGCGCCGTGGCGCACGCCGCCACTGCCGCCGCCATGCCCGCTGCTGCCGTGCTGCGCGGCGCCGCGGCGATACTCCTCGTGCTGAGAGGGCGAGACGGCGAGAGGGCGAAAGGGCGAGAGGGTGGGAGGGCGAGAGGGTGCGAGGGAGAGAGGGTGCGAGGGAAAGGGTCGATAGAGAGGTTGAGTGACGCGCGGGGCTGGTGGAGGGGATGGGAGAGCAGTGTGAGCCGGGGACAAAGAGTCCGCTGGGGTTTTAGGCGTTCAAGATTTGAAGTTTAAACTTGTTTTGTCGTGAATGATTAGAACGCGCGGAAGTCAATAACGAGAAAAAATTACACCTGATCCTTGTTACGGCGTGTTGCAGTTTGCGGTGCACTGCATCGGCTCGGCTCGTGGCGCGAGTTTAGGAAGGCTCCACGAACGCAAGCTGCCGTAATTTTTTTACAGAATACGTGCAAAGACAATGCAGAAAATAGACAATGCAACATTAAATTTTGAATATTTAATGTTTGAATGCTCGGCAGAAACTATGTCATGATATAACCTTGGCAAATAACAGTTTCGTAACGCGCCGCACGGTTGGAAATGAAACTGAATAAGGCAATGTACCCCTTAGAGTACATGGCTAGCTAGGTCGAATCGAATTCCCCTGTACTCATATTTATATCTTTGTATTTGCATTTTTTTAAAATCTCAAGCATTTTATATTCACTCTGCTATTGAGGTCAAGGGCATACCAGCACTATCTAGCTGTGTGCGAACCTTCCCGAGGAGATCCTAGGAGCGATCATCCTCTGATCGCAACATGGTATGAGAGCGACTCGGGGATCCTTCGCACTGACATTCGGAAAGCAACGTCCGGCACACGATCGCGTGTGAGAATGGCCGGAGGATCTGGTGGTTAGACAAATCTGACGGCTGAAGCGCAACCTAACCCAGCTGTGACAAGCGAGGAAACTACGACGATCGGGACCTGAGTTCTCGCACAACTATTTCAGCGACTCACCAGCCTGGAGCAAGGGCTCCAGACATTGCGGAACGGCGATGCGGGAACCTCCTCGCAACCTACTCAACCGACCCCAAACGGCCATAACGCCGCCCCTCACACTTTTGTCAGAACATTATAGCTTATGCTTTTGTGTAGGCTATAGTGGGGTATCCCATAGGGAGTACAACCCAAGTAGGGTTAGTACTTGTACCCACTTCATTCTAGTTCATCCATTTTCTCGTTTCTTCTTATGGTATCGAGCAGGTTCCCTCGTGGGAACTGTTCCTAGGGCCCACCAAGTCGAGAATTTTTTTTCCTGCCCGGAGCGCGCTCCGCTTAGGCCCGAATCGCGCCTCGTGTGCTCTCTCTACCGTCGCGTTCATCCTAGGCCTTCCTCGGCCCCGTCGCGTCGCCCCTAGCGGCCTCCCTCGAGCCGCCCTTACTCGGCCCGTCGCCGCCCTACGCGGCCCGTCGCCGCCCTTTACTCGGCCCGTAGCCGCCCTTATGCGGCCCGTCGCCGCCCTAAGCGGCCGGTCGCCGCACTTCTTCGGCCCGTAGCCGCCCTTACCCGGCCCGTCGCCGCCCTAAGCGGCCCGTCGACGCCCTAAGCGGCCCGTTGCCGCCCTCCTTTGGCCCGTCGCCGCCCTTACGCGGCCCGTCGTCGCCCTGAGCGGCCCGTCGCCGCCCTATTCGGCCCGTCGCCGCCCTACGCGGCCCGTCGCCACCCTACACGACCCGTCGCCGCCCTTTCCGGCCCGTCGCCACCCTTCCGCGGCCAGTCGCCGCCCTTAAGCGGCCCGTTTCCGCCCTTACGCGGCCCGTCGCCGCCCTTTCCGTCCCGTCGCCGCCCTTTCTGGCCCGTCGCCGCCCTCAGCAGCTTGGCGCCGCCCTTCCCGGCCCTGTGCGCCACCCTACACGGCCCCCGCGCCTCCTCCTCCTATCCCACGGCCGCCACACCTCCACTCGGGCCGTCGTCACGGAGGCAAGAGCCGCCGCAGTCGGGCCGCCGAGCAGCCGAGCCGCCGAGCCGCCCAGCAGCCGAGCCGCCGAGCAGCCGAGCCGCCCAGCAGCCGAGTCGCCCAGCAGCCGAGCCGCCCAACAGCCGAGCCGCCCAGAAGCAGAGCCGCCCAGCAGCCGAGCCGCCCAGCAGCAGAGCCGCCGAGCCGCCGACCAGCCGAGCCGCCGAGCCGCTGAGCCGCCCTACTTCCGAGCCGCCCGAGCTGCCCCGTCCGGTGAGCACAGCGTCTCTTTCACTGCACTGCCCTCACCCTACTGTTTGCACTGCTAGTCTACTGTGGTCATCGCTACCCCTAGTGTTCTCGCTTTTGACGCTGAGGGTCGGGCCATTGACTTTGAGGTCTGGGTAGATGACCTGCAGCTGTTCTTACAGTGCGATAGGGCAGACGGCCTCTCTCTCTTTGACCTCACCTCTGGCGCTTCCCCTGCCCCTGCTGCTGATGCTGACGCCCCTATTCGCTCCCAGTGGGCCACGCGCGACGCTGCTGCACGTCTTGCTGTGCGTCGCCACCTCCCTACCTCCAAGCGTGCGCACTTTAGTCAGTACAAGAGTGCTCAGACCTTGTACGACGCTGTAGTTGCACGCTACTCCTCCCCTGCCACTGCTGCACTGAGCCGTCTCATGCTGCCGTACCTCTTCCCTGACCTTGCTGCCTTTCCCACAGTCGCTGACCTCATTACGCACCTCCGCACTAGTGACACTCGCTACCGCGCTACGCTTCCTGCTGACTTCTGTGCCAAGAACCCCCTCCCCCCCCCCATGTACATCACCCTCTACTTCATAGTCACTCGCCTCCCTGACTCCCTTAGAGTAGTCAGGGACCACTTCGTCGTAGTGTGCCCCACCACTCTCACCATTGACCTCCTCGAGAAGGCCCTCCTAGCGGCGGAGAAGAGCATAGTCGCTGTAGGAGCCTCTCGTGGAGACCCCCGCACCCCTGTCTTTGAGGGGTGTTCTCCCTCCCCCCTCTTGCCCCTTGTTGCTTCTGCTGCTGCGGCCGACCTCGTTCGTTTTGAGTCGGTCGGTGCTGCGTCTGCCCCTTCGGGGAAGCGCCGCACAGGCAAGGGCAAGGGGGGCAAGGGCGCTGGAGGAGCTGGCGGGGGCGGCGGAGGTGGTGGTGGAGGCGGCGGAGGGAGTGGGGGTGGTGGTGGGAGTGGTGGAGGGGGTGGGGGTACCGGTGGCAGCAGTGGGGGCGGAGGCGGCGGCGGTGGCGGAGGGAGCGGAGGAGGCGGTGGTAGCGGAGGCGGCGGTGGTGGCGGAGGCGGCGGTGGTGGCGGAGGCGGAGGAGGCGGCGGAGGCGGCGAAGATGGCGGTGGCGCTGGTCGCGGGTATACGCAGAGGAGTGGCTCCAGTGGTGGTCCGCGCCAGCAGCAGCAGCGCGGTCGTGAGACCCTGTCCCCTCAGCAGCTCCGTGAGTGGTACACTGCACGCCAGCGGGGTGGGGGTTTCGGTACGTGCACCTACGTCCTGCGCACCGGCGACCGTGCGGGTGAGCAGTGTGGGGGTGCGCACCCCACCCAGCGCTGCTTTGGCCGCCTGATGGACGCGTGGCGTCACCAGTTCCCTGAGGCCACTGAGATCCCTCGCTGGGGCGAGCTGTCTAGGGCGGGAGTTGCCATCTATGATCTTGATTTTGATGCCATTCTTTCTGCCATGTATGCTGTGACTATTAGTGAGGAGGGTGACTGTTACCGGTGTTTCCCGCACGATCCGGGCATCGAGACTGCTGCTCTAGGTACTGGTGCGGCTGCTGCCCTAGGTGCTTGCGACGCTGCTGCTCTAGGTGCTAGTGCGTCTGCGTCCTCAGGTACTGGTGAGTCTGCGCTCTCAGGTACTGCGTCGGCTTTGGCCTCCCTCACCTTCACCCTTGACTCTAGGGCTTCTCGCTCCTTCTTTCGGGACCGCACCACACTCACGCCGCTTAGTCGGCCGGTTGCGGTGTCTCTGGCTGACCCCTCTGGGGGTCCTGTCCCGTCTCACTTCTCCACAGTCCTCCCGTGTCCGGCGGCTCCCTCTGGCACCCTGTCTGGTCTCTACCTCCCCTCGTTCTCTACGAACTTGGTGAGTGGTGCTGATCTACAGGATGGGGGAGTGCACCAGTTCACTCCTGCGCGCCAGCGAGTGACGCACTGCACAGAGGCTCGCACAGGCCGACACTTGGCTACGTTTACACGTCAGCCGGGGTCGAGCCTGTACACACTGACCACTGCGTCTCCTCCAGTTGCTGAGTCTGGTAGGGTAGCTGCGTCGGGTCAGGTGTTTGCTGCAGCATCCAGGTCTGGTCCTGAGTCTGCCCCCTGTTCGTGTCGGCTCGTGTCTCACGAGACTCTCCTCTGGCACCACCGCCTTGGTCACCCCTCTCTGCTTCGGCTCAGAGGCATGGCCTCCCGTCTTCTTGTTTTTGGTCTCCCCAGGCCCCTCCCTCCCCTTCC